TCCACACACACGCACACACAACCACACACACACACAAACACAGACACACACATTCATATGAAAAAGCAAACTAGACACTCGAACTCGAATGGAAATTAATCACTTCCCTTTACTAGAATTTGCATGTTGGTTTTTCGGGTTTTCAGTTATTCGAATTCAGTTTTCTGTTTGATTTTTTTGTTGTATTTTTTGTTTTTCTGTATCAATTAAAACCCAATTATGTTCGTAGGCATGTCTTGGAAAATATGCAACAAGATAATGGCTATCCGGCCATAACGGGTTTCACACACATCCAAGGTTGCTCCGACTCCAACGGCAGCCCCAACATCCACTCTGATTCCGACTCCAATTCCGATTCCGATCAAGTAAGTGTCAGCGCACCCCGTTGTCAGCCAATCAGCATAATACTCAGCGGGTAGTCGTCGACAGCTAAAAATTATTGAAATTTATTGAAGTACATGAACGGAACCGATCGGAATCTTCGTAATGTGCACTACAATACCGTGCCCAGATCTGTGAATTATCAGGGCGCATCTAAGCTGTGGGTTCTTTTGAGTTTTAATTGAAATAATAGCAATTGCTCATACCTTTCTATTCCTCCAATTTTCTATATCTGGCAACTGTCTATATCTTCCATTGCATAGTTATAGACTAGTGTTGCGTATTAAATCTATTTAGCAACATTTGAGTTGAGCACAAAGTTTATATAAAGTGTTTTCTTCAGCACATTTTTCACATTCTGAGCGCTGTAATTCTCAACTAGTTCTAGTGCAGACTTCGTTCTTGTTGTTTTATCTCCCTCTCTTATTCCGTCTGTCGTCCTGTCCGTAAATTTGCTAAGCACACAGTTTGAAAGTCCTGCCTCAGGTTAACAGTTTTAGAGGCTCAACCTGAATTCATTTGTTTATTGGATGCTTTAAAATATTGCGCTTTAAGTATTCGGTTTTCTAGGCGCAATTTGTTTGCATTATGCAATTGTTTAATTTGATCCTCAAATTGCAAAAAACAATCAGCGGCCAAATTATGCCACACAACTTTGTCAATGATGCAACATCACGTATGTGTGTGTGTGTGTGTGTATCTCTTTTTCTCGCTCTGCATCATGTGCTTAAATTTTTGCTCGTATTATTGGGAATTTATCTGCGCATTTGGATCGCCGCTTGTTGCGGGGCGTGTCGCACATTTCGCTTTGGGCCAAACAATTTGAGATTACAATTATGTTAACATTATTTAATTTATTTTCGATCGCAGCAAATGAGGAAATTGTTAACTGAAATTGCAAAAGCCTATGAACATTGTGAGTATTTATGAAAAGTATCTTTTCAATATGGCAGGTGCCGAAGAACTCAAAATGTGCATTGCCACATTGCTAAGAGAGGCGATTGTCAGTTAAAAAGCAAGCAAAATTAATATTTATAATTGTAATAATAATAAAATAATCGCATATTTTGTGATACTACGCAGCCAATGTTAAAATTTATCTGGCTTACATATAATGCGTTTAAATATATCGTACATTTTTTTGGCTATAATTAATTTTAATTTATCGTACAAATTATTTGAATTTACACTCGAGCTGTTTTGACGATGACAAACAAAATCAAGTAGTAACAGGTTGCTTATAGGTAATAAGTACCCTGTAGTCTCTCTGACCGACAGACAAAAGGAGAGAGAGAGCGAGCGGGCTGTCAATACTGCTCAGGGTTAACTACAGGGTATCCAATATTTTACAAACTGATTATAATCTGTGTAATCCAAATGATGATATATCAATATTTATCAAACATATCCAATCAACTTTCCGATACTAGGAATTTGTGTGATTGTCTTATGGACACAAGTCTATCTATCCGATATTGTCTCTTGCTACTAGAGTAAAATATATACAACCTTCAACTTAATGGATACAACTTTTAAGAAATTTATGTACAGACAAAAAGGAACTGAAGCCGAGCCGGGCACACTGCTATATTGGCAACTTATCAGTTGACCCTCGTGTAACTAATTCCAATTCAAATTTTGTCGCTTTTGAGCCCGCCTTGCTTCGGCCTATTGGCAGTTGGCCAAGTCCCTGCCAGCTTGTAAGCCGTGTGTCGTGCCCGTGTCCAATTCCAAGTCCGTGTTTGTGTCTGTGTCCATGTCAATCGCTTGTTGCCGTTGTGGCAGCCACACGCGGTGGTCCCATCGATCGGTTCGTTTGAACACATTGTCAGTGTCACATCTGTCAGCTGGATAAGATCGGAATAGATCAGCAACTATTTAATCTGCCACTGCACTTGTATCTCCAGCTGTAGCTGTATCTGTATTCGTATCTGTATCTGTATCTGTTGCTACAATAAACTTGTCATAAGCTCGGGCAATGTCTGATTGATTCCAAATGCACGTTTCTGGCAAAATAATCGAGTCAAAAATAACAGCTTGTGCTCTCAATTGCAAAATTGCAAACTGCCATTGCATACATGAGTTCTGGGTATCGGTATCTGTATCTGTATCTGTATCTGTATCTGTATCTGTATCTGTAACTGTGGCAGCAATTGTATCTGTATCTGTATTTTTCGGCTTAATTTATGCGCTTCCTGTGCAATCAATTGTATTTCCAAGTATTTCGCATTTTCTGGCATTCTAACGATCCATAAAAGCGCTCGCAGCCGCATCGATGCTGCCATTGATCGCATCCTGTTGCCCCCGGCCTCAGATTCATTGGCCGTCTCATGTTTATGAAATTTGTCACGCTTCTTGGCCAATTTCGTCTGGGCGCCAAGTGGCTGCTCAAATATAGACGTCTGTGGCATTCTCAAGCTATCCAAAGACTCGTCCCCAGTGGGGGACTGATAGACATGCCAAGCATCTGTGTTCAGGTCTTTTATGGCACTCCAAAGTGTTTCGTAGCGCAATTATTGCTAATCAACATTGTGGCGGGGCAGGTGGGGCAGGTGGGGCAGGTGTGACAGGCGAGGCACACAGCATAAGCTTTAATTGTAGCTCAGACAAATTATAATTACAATTAAGAGCGATAAGTGAACGCTTTGGACCTAAATTGGCAATGAAATAGGCTGTTAATGTCACTTGGCTGACATTGTGACTGTTTGCCAGATTTTGAGAAGCTATTTTAACATTTTGAGATCCGCAGAACAGCCCAATTATGGGTTTCCATTTGTATTCTGCTCAACTTAGAACTGAAACTGAGCCATAGCGCTTGCTTATAGCAATCTTTGGTGAAACGGGGGTAGATGCCCAAAAGTGAAATATGTATAATATGTGACTGCTGCCTCGGAGATTCGTTAAGATTCTGAAAATCGATATGTATCGATAACAATGTAACGGAGAGAACTTTTAAGAGAGGGAGAGACAGTCAGACGGGCGTAAATAAATCATCTCAGCTCGAGGGATTAGAGAACATTTGTATTGTTTATACTTTATATAGTGGGAGATAATTCCTTATATTATAACCCTTTTTAATGAGTACAGGGTATAAAAAATGAATGGCCATGTCAAGAGTTGGCTCAGATTCGTTCTCTTTTACACCTGGCGAGCATGCGAAAAACCAAAACATAGCATTTGACTCTTGGCCAATTTGGTCTTTGTTGTTAACTGTTAGCACGTCCCACACGCACTTTGGGCCAACACACACACACACACGCACGCACACATACAGGCATAGACACAGACGCACTCGCATAGTCATGATCATTATGCAGATTTATGACTTCAACACTTGCAACTGATAGCGGAGTTGTACACAGTCCGCCTACCCGGCTACGCGGCTACCCCTCAGCCCCTCTGCTCCCTCCACACCTGCCAGCCCATTTGCGGCTCAGTCCCTGCAGAGCTCCCCACTCCTGAGCCGCGTTAACAAAGCTGTTTGTTTATGAGGCGCTTGCATTGAATTATGGCACGACATTAGCAACAATTTAGCAGGCAGACATGTCGCCAGCTTCAATAATCATTAACAACGACACTTGGACGCTGCTTGTTGGTGCTCACTGTGCCATATGCCCATGCAAACGCATGTGTGCAGTTATGTATGTGCGCTAACATGTGCAGATACATATGTATCTGCATGTATTTATATATATATATATTTATCTAGGCCTTTTAGCTGCTGCTCTGGCTCGGCTTGGGCCAAGTGGGCGTCTCAAATTGGCTTAATTAATCATTTTGTCGTAATAATCAACTTTAATTAAATTCAATTTCTAGTCCTACAGCAACTAAAGCAACATATTGATCGACTTCGACAGCCCCGATATGCTATGCGGCTGGCCGGTTAGAAAAAAATTGTTATTAAATTATTACGAAATGCTGTGCAATGCGAACGATCGCCCGCCCCGCACCCCTCCCGCCGGCCAGGTGTTAAGTGTTCTAATTGGGGCTGACCGTTGCCTTATAGCGTGCTGATAACTATGTTCGATTTTGATGTAGTCCTCGACTCGTTTAATGGCATGCATTGTCGCCCGACTTGCAAATGAGGAAACCGAAACCCAAGCTCAACTAAAAACAAAGCAAACAATAATCTCGCGGGAGGTGTGGTACAGAGCGGGCCGTATCGGCTGGTCAGAAAAACGTTTGTTTAAACGTTGTTTAATCACCGGTTGCAAGTTGCAGGCTACTTGCAGTGCACAGTGGTACAAGGCTTATTTGCCTAGCATTCGGTTCGCCATTTTCCCAAAAGTGCTCTAGAACTATTGCATCACAGATGGTTACACCAGGGCTGCAGAGTAATTTGAGCCTGGAATAGTCGAATAAGTTAGATGAATCGAAACTAATCCTGAACCGGTAAATGGGTACAAATTGAACTGTTCTCTTTAAAATTTGATGTATAGGATACCAAAAGCTATATTAGTAAGTGTGCAAAACAAGGTTCACGGCGAGGCACTGGTTCGTGTCGTGAACCGAACCAGTCAAAAAGATCATTGGGCTTAAAAGATGCTTTATACAAATACGTTTATTTTATAAATATTCAAGTAATTAATAGTAATTATAAAAAATAATTAATAGTAATTGATACTCGCATATTTCCATAGTTCGATTATGTTTCCTTTGTTTACGTGTTTTCTATTTCTCCTTATTGCTCCCAAGACATTCACATTGATTTATTTTTACAGAGTAGATAAGCTTTTTGCTGAACAGTTCATAAACAATTTGAATACGCTTCAAGCTTATATTCCTTAATGACAAACGTGAGCTTTTGTTATTAGTAAATATTATTTTAAAATTTAACTATGGAGAATACCGACTGTTGTGTGAACTTTTTAAGTCTCTTTATGTACCAAATATCTTTCATTTTCTTTAGTTCTTGCAAGGTTCACAATGTTCTCCCTTAGCTGTCTGGCGATTATTCATTGACCTAAGGACTATTGTCAATATCCTGCGTAGTAAAAAGAAGAAGGAATGTGAGCGAGAGTCTCCAAAGCGGCGATGGCTGAGGACATACCAGATCAGAGTCTGGAGAGCCTGTACCAAGATCCATGGCATTATTTATATTTACATTCATGGACTGCATATAGTTGGGAATGGACTTCTTGGAACGCCGCGAGATGGTAAAATGTGATGGGTTGTTGCCATCCCGACGTATCATGCCGGGCAGAATGCGGCGGCGCGCATTGATGAACCAGTTGTTTACTTGCTGCACTAAGATGTTTCCCTTGTGGGCAAGAATCCGCTTCTCCACTTCACTGGGATACGCGTTATAACGATGCTCGTATAGCCAGCTCTTGAGGATCTTCACCGCGTGCGGCGGCAGATTGCCGCGGCGTGTGGGATGCTCCTCCTCCAGCATAATATCCATGTGGTTTTGTATTTCTCTATTGTCGGTGCAGGCCCTGGCTTGTCCAGGCAACAGATGAGCGGTCTGATTTGGCATTTGGGCGGTCGGATGTGCTATTTGACTGTCGTCCAGCTCAGTATGCAACTCTTGTTGCAAAAGGACTTGACCATTGTCAGCACTTGGCTCTTTGTCAAAACGGTCGCTACCTGAAGTTTGAGGATATTCATGACACCCTGTACTACTTCGAGCTGAAGGGACTTACCGGCTCTTTCCATTCGCTTTGCATACTCAAGAATTCTCTGCCGCACATCGGCGGTCAAGACTAGTTCGTTGGTCGACATTATGTCCGAAGTAAATAGATGGTGGGTAATGCAAGGAATACTTTCTGGATTCCCGGAAACAAGTAACAAGCGAATTGAAAACGAAACAGAGAAAATCTTTGCGTTTACAGCACAAGCTTCGATAATGAAGTGAAAATTTGACCGGATTTCAAATCTGATTTTATGAATTCAAAGCCTACTGAGAGGCTGGGACTTTGTTTATTGTTAGCCTGACATTTTAAAGTCAGAAAAGCAGCTAAGAAAACCTGAAAGCTGCCCCAATGTCTCTCTCTCTCTCTCCCTCTGCCTATCTCTCTGGATTACGATTCCCATTAGAATTTCGAAATCAATGTGCTTAATCGCAGCTAACCTAACGCAGACGAAACAGCCCTGCTTAATCGAAAGGTTCTGGAAAAAAAGATTGATTCATATGAACGGTTTATTCATAAAGAAAATTACATTAACATTGAAATTTTTTAATAAAATGCATTTTTCTGTTTTCGAACTAGAACTGAATTCGAATTTCACCTAGACTATATAGTTAATATTATTTGTAAAGTCAAATTGAATAACCAGAAAAGTTTGTTTATTTGAAAAGTTGGTCGGGTTCTATAGGTTTTTTTGTCAATGTGCACACTGATGCGTGTGCTTCTTTTGCATGGCAGTAGATTGTGTGCTTAAACTTCAATGTGGGCCTAATACCACATTCAACTGCAATTAACTGACATGATATATGACCAATCCCAGACGGAGGCACTGCACTGCGTCCGCGATCTCGTTCCCAGTGACAGTCGCAGTCTGAGTTCGGGTAAGACCGTGTTACGGTTTCTGTTTTAGTTGTCTTTATCGCCGTTTCGCCGCTGGTTTATTGCACTTTTGGCAGCTAATATTTATTAGCCATAATTAGCGGGTCGGCTGTTCTGGCTGTTCTGGCCAAACTGGGCCCCCGACTCCACTGCCCATTAACCCAGCAACTGTTCAGAGATCAGAGAGCAGCGGACATTTGGGCACGGCTTCCGGGCAGTTGTTTTAATTGCCTCGCGCTAAATCGAAAGTACACATATATGTATGGTACATATGTTAGTACAGGGGGGGATTGCCTCGAGTGGTTAGCCCAGCAAATCTTTAGAAAATGTCAAAAGCTTGTAGCAGGATTTGTTCGCATTAGATTTACAAATACTTGCGGTCTTAATTATATGACCATGGTGCCATAATTACATACGTTCATATCCAACATGTAAAATGCAATCTCATCTTTCACCCGCTGCCATTCAAATCCAAGTTGAATCCAAACTTGAATCTTGAGACTGTGTTTTTCTATTTTTATTTTTATTTTTGAATTTGGCTTTGGCTTTGTGAAAAGCAGCGCGGAAATTATGACGCGTTTTTCTCTGGCATTGAACGAGAAGGTAAAGTGAATGTCTAAAACTTATCAAAAGGCAAACTGCAGTTAGTTTTGTTGTTGTTGTTGTTGTTGCTATTATTGTTATTGCTGTTGTTATAACAGTAGCACGTCTGTGGCAGGTGGCCAGGCAGCCTGTTCAGCTCCAGCTCCTACTCCAGCTGCAGCTCAAGCCGCAGCCTAACTTTGTTGGCCTGGCCGGAAGCGTTAACACATTTGCACAGAGATCGTTTTGGTTAGCCAAACGCCAAATGGCGCCTCGGCACGCGCATCATCATCATTCACATCATCAGCATTTAATCATCATTGTGATCACGCTCACCATTCCTATCCTCATCATCCTCATCATCATCATCATCATCAGCATCGTCATCATCATAATCATCGGCCTTATCTTTATCTGCAACAAATTCATTTTCATTTGCTGCTGCCGCTTTTCGCTCTTTGCGGTTCGTGTTGCGGTTGTTCGCTTTTCAATTACAGCTGCCAAAATAAAAAGGCGCAGTTTTTGCCGATGTTCAATTCCAATTGGATAGCCCCTTGAAAATATATAAGAAAGAAAACAACTAAAATCGGAATGAACCAGAATTTAGAGTTCATCTTTTATTGTTTGCCGAGAAAAATTGCACTTACTTGAAATACCTTCACATATAAGTATAAACAAATAAGAGTGTTTGGGAATGCCCGACTGGGAGATACTCTGAACACCTACACTTACAAACATTCTAGTTTTATTCTCTACAATCACAGAAATTTATCTCTGAAAAGCGTCGGTACCTATAGTCCGATCTTTGTGAAACATTTAGGGCATAAATGAAACAACCAAATATGTTTATGTATGCGATCGGAGGCTCTGAAAAATTTATTTAAATTTCAGGAGAATTTCTTAAATCTGTATTTCTATACGAGAAAAAGCCTTAAAATTGATTTGAATCAATATTTTAGAAATGGGTTGAGGTATTGATGATATTTATGCAATTGTTTTGCTTATAGAAAGTGAGAATATATAGGACGGACAGGCGGACATAGAGAAAGGACTCAGCTCGTCGTCCTGATCAAGTATATACTATATACTCCTTAAACCTTTTTATGTTAATCAAAAGACAGAAAATGAAAGCTATATATAAGCAATGTTGTTCTGCTCTTATTGTGTTGCCAGCTGTTCTTGGCGGGCTAAGGAAGGGCCCCTCTGCACATGTCATAGCCAACAAATGGCTTCAATTTGTCTGGCAGCTCGTTAAGCGCTCGAAATTGAATGCAGATCGGAATTGGAATTCAAGTCAGCGTCGCGCTTGTAATTCACAATGAGAGTCGACAAATTGCTAGCAATTTATTGTGCAATCGCCGCATTACGAATTCCAAATTCCGTACTCCGTGTTCCGTGTTCCGATTTCGATTCCATTTTTCTGCGGCTGACGATGGTTCTCACAATTGCCCCATTCGAGTGCAATGGCTGTGCAATTAAAGCGATTTAATTATAGTACTCGAAATGGCGGCAATACCGAGTGCGGAGGGCCTGCACTGGGCCTGGCTGCCATTTGGCCGTTTGGCCATTTGGGCATTTGCTCAATGGCCAATGCAATCAAATTGCACTCGTATTACGATCAAATGCAAATGAAGAAGTCAACAAATTCCGAAACATTTTCTTTACTATGTAGTGAAAATTGCTGGGCGTTGTTGTTGCTGCAGTTGTTGTTGTTTATGGTGTTGCGCATGCGTGTGAGCAGACAATAACAACATTGCACTCACTCGCAGAAATCGGTGACAAAGGCGTTCAACAACAGCGCAAACAAGAAAATCAAATGAAAACAAAAAAGAAAACGGCAAGCCGAAGAGTAAATACTCGTTCCACTTGTATATATTGGGCTTAAATAAACGATATGTAAATAACAATCAATATCGTGTTGAAGAGCTCGAAGCCTGGTTTGATTAAATATTCGAATAATTATTACATATTTGTAATGATCATAAAGATGGTCATAATCATCATTTGATATAGTTGTTCGATTCTATTCGTTCAATTGAGTTATCTTAATGTAGTTCGATTCTAATCAAATTTCAACAGAATGTTAACTTATTAATCTGAATGGGTTTTCCTTTCGTGTTGTGGCCATGATACCCGCTGTAAGGGTATACACAAAAACCTACAGTGCAACATGAAAATGTATGGAAATTAATGCGCAGCACGCGAAAAATGCATTAAATGTGCGCACATACCACATACCAAGAAAACTGCAGAGCAGGGCTTAAACGAGAGTTGGGTATGGCTGACTTTGAGAGTATGTTTCATTTTTACACATATTGTTTTGTCTATCTTATGCAATCGCATTCTTAAACTGTAAAACGGCTAGGATTTCAGTTACATGATCATATAATTATAAAACAATTTATGCAACTTTGAAAGCACCTTGACAAATTGAAATTTTCGAATTCAGAATAAAGAGCTTTCGGTCTAAGTATGTACATTTGGGCATGCGTTAAGATCATCGTGAACCACAACTGTACATATATTTGGTTAAAATTTAGTTAATGATCTTTGGGGGGGGGGGGGGGGGGGGGGTTGTATACAAACTTATACAGATATACAGACTATTTAACATCAACTAATCCAGTGGTGCTATGGTTCCTAGAATGCGTAGATATAGCTCTGCGGATCCGCGAATGCGAAGCTTACGGGCACAGAGCTTCACCAGCCAGGGTATGTCCAGGTAGTCGGCGCCCTTCATTATGGCCCGAACGGTCGCCAGCTTCTCGCGCAGAAACTCCTTGTCCCAGTCGTCAATGTGGCGTTCGATGTCGGCGGGCTCGTCTTTGCTCTGGACCCAGGCGGGTTCCTCGTCGCCCTTGTGATATTCCATCCAGAGCAAAATTTTGAGTAGTACATCGTGATTGATGCCATGCACCGGGAGTATCAGCTCTTTGTATGCGTTTTCCGCTGTGCTGTACTGGCACATATGCTGAATGACCTTTGACCGCTGCAGGACCCCAAAATCGATGCGTATAAGGAATCCGTCCCTTGTCTCCAATCGAACGTGGTTCATTGTGCAAATATTTGTTCAAGATTAAGTTGAAGATTTTGACAAATTGCCACGACTCTATACACAGGGGCTAATTAATTTTCGTTGTGTCGATAGAAACGATAAAAGTTTGACAGATGAAATTATCAAGGATATACTTGCATCAATTCATGCAGTATTGTAAGCTAGATATCAGACATATCTGAAGTGCATGCATCTCAATCGACAGGTAATTGCAAATAACTTAAGATGTTGGCTTTTGGGTCGCCAATTAGTTAAGATGTGTTCAGTAACTTGACCTAATTACAGCATCAACTTTGAACGAGCCAATAGACCGTTAGGCCAAAATAATCATAGCGTTATCGAACACTGCATTTGCTGTGCGTCAAGGATAATAGAAACGAACGAGAATCGTTAAAGACAGGAAGCTTACAACTTATGGCACCTTATTTTAGATTAGATAAATAATCCAAACAGTTTTGAATTTTAAATTTCAACTTATTTTCGATTGGGCAAAAACTAAGTAATTATATTTCTGTTTCAAAGTCTATATCTTGCACATGTTTACAGCAAGCCAAGTAAAGTCAGCTTGACTACGGACTGCTTCTATGGATCGACTTTACGATTCTTTGAAATCAGTATAGAAATAATAACTGCTGCATTACAGACTCAAAAACACATTCCTTTCAACTGATGTAAGTTTTTAATGGACTAGAAAAAGATCATTGCTTAGTCGGTTGGACATGACTTAATATTTTATATTCGAAAGTTTGAACTAATCTTATTCGGCTCAAATAATTATTAAGATTTAGTACAGCCGCTTGATTTGATTTAAATCAGCCAGTTAGTTGGCTTAGATCAGTGGAAATCTCAAAATAGATATAAAAACAATTCGTTTGAGATAAGGTCTTTTTTTCAGTGTTGTGAAATGTCGCACACTTCAGCACTGCAAGGCGTTGCACATTTGTGAGAGCACTTTGACACTTTCATGCAACCGGAGGGCTGTGCCAAATGGCAGCCGTAATTCCACCTGCAACTGAATGAAAACAGAAAACGAAAACTTTCTCGACATACTTTAAAAACAATGGGCGTATGTGGGCGTGGCCCGTTTTCTTATGTGCCACAATTTCAAGTGTAAAAGTGCATGGGAAATCGCAAAGCAGAGCCGCAGGTGAAAACCCATGAGAAAGGCTGCCAACATGCAAACACTTACCGACTGAGGTCAACTACTGACTACGAGTGCTGTGAACGGAACATATACAATTCTACTAATTATTGAATTTGATTTCAGATCTCGGTAATATAAGTATATATGGAGTGTGTGTAATCCCATTTCTCAAAGAGTTTAATAGTTCGGCTTACCGTCGCTCAGCAACAGGTGTGGTCAGGCTTTGGGCCAGGGTGCGTTAAGGGTTAAGATCAAAGAGATTGCGAAAGAAACAGCAAAGCTTTTAAGTTAAGAATCACGTACTTTAACTTCGCAAATAGAGATGACTCAGAAATTTCAAACTTTGAAAGTTCGAAATTTTTTAAAATTTAACTCAGATGTTTCGCTGCATCCCACTTACCCAGCCATCACTGTACCTGATTAATCAAATTACATGTTTATAAAATTGTTTTTTGAGATAGCTTTCATGTATCTCAAATACTACAATTAAGTTTTTATGGGTAATTAAAATAAACTTATGTTTGTAGGCACCAGAATACAGTAGGCAAACATGGAAGATAAGGCTCAAATGTATCACTGGAGTGTCCGACTACGATATACCCTGTACTTGATCTTTGACCTGGAAAAATTTCTTTTTTTTATAAAATATACCTAGCCTGTGTAACATTTATGTGGAAGTACTCACCTAAGCGTCTCTAACTGTCTCTATCTCGTAAAATCGCCGAGCTATGCTTAGAATACTTTGTTTCAAAACCGATCTTTATCGGCATTGTGGATATGGGGGAGATATTGAGATATTGAAATAAAAATTCATCTGTGATTTATGAGAAAAGCAGACGGTCAGAAGGACATGTCTTGATATACCCAGCTCGTTGTCCTGATCAAGGTATCGCAGATGTCTTCGTCTGCCTTCCTTCAGCAGAGCTTGGATCTCAGGATAGGGAATTAATGTTCTGAGTCTCCCATAATTACAGTATAGAGATAACTCTGTTGGGCTACGTTTGACTAGAGACTGTTTCTAGATAGTCAATTGTGTGGCATATGCAGCATAGCACTCGAGTTACCATTTCCGTTGCGTTTAAATTTACTGACTGGCCAACTCAATACCATATTTTATTTATTTATTATTATGAGGCTTTTTTTCTAACTATCTCTTGTGGGCTTTGGCTTTGGCTGTTACACGAAAAAGTGCAACGAAATATGCAGAAAAATGATTTAATAAGTTGTTAAACAACAACTCGAAGTCAACCGGATATCGGACTGCGCAGAGAGCTGGCCAAATGGTTTTGCAATTTCCCTAAGTTTTTGTTGCCGCTGTTTTGGCCGCCGTTGTTGCTGGCGTTGCATGTCGCAACCGTTTTGGCCAGATGCGTGTGGCACGATCGGACGAACCGAACCGTTCGTCAATTAAACGGCAGTCGAAATTTACAGCTTGCGCCCAATTAATGCCCCAAGTGGCAAGGCGCACACACACATACACACAGCTCCTTAAGCTCCAGTGCCACTTGCGACTGGCGACTCTCAGACTGTGGACTCAAGCTCTGCGCTACCCGCTTGCAGCTCACAAGTCGATTAATCAAAGAGCCAAACGTTTTGACGCTTATCGAACGTTTTAACGCCTGATGATGATCAGTCAGTGGCAGCGGTTGGGCGCGGGTAGGAGGGGTATTGCCAGTGGCAGATGCTGACGACAATCGTCAGCAGCAGAAGTAGCAGCAGCCACAACAATCGCACATTGATTTACGAGTTCCGTTCGCACAATCTCACGCTTGAGGCTGGGATTCGAGCTGCGGCATTCGATTCGATTCGTTTGCTTTTTGACTGCATTCGTTCATTCAATTCATTCACTTCATTCAATTCATTCATTGGACGCCGCGGAGCACATCTCGCGAAAACATTTGTCGACCTCACGTACCGTCCGCCAGCATGACGCCAACCCCCCTACCCCCACCATCCCCCCCATCCCTCCACCGTCTTCGCCACCTCTTTTCCACCCATCATTGGCGAGCAATAATTGTTTTTTTTTTTCCCCCCATTTTACGAGTATTGTTTAATCACCGACAACTTTTGGCTACCTCTGCAATCATTTTGCTGATGTCTTTACCGCTTTGATCGAGCCGGCGTTTCATGCATAATAGATTTCTTGTTGTTGTTGTTGCTGCTGCTGCTGCTGTTGCTGCTGCTGCTGATGTGTAGCACTTGGCCGACCGAAGGCATTCGAATTTAGATTTGGTTTCGTTTAACGTATCGGACATGAATCGACAGCAAATTTGTCGACTGCTCAACCCGCTCAATTTGAGCCCTCTTCCCGCTCGGTTCCACACTTGGCCAGCGTCAAGGTTTTCGTTTATTTGCCACAAGATTTCAAGGGCAACTGCAGAAGCTTTGTGTGCCGGCAATTTGGACTGTTTGTTTATGTTGACAGAGTTGTGGCCGCTGTGCAATTTGTGGTTTTGGCTGCAAATCGGATCGCTGCTCAGATAGTTGTAACACAATTGATTGTGGCCAACTCTTTGCCTCGAACGTACGAATTTACGTGTAAATATGTATGTTCGAGCGCGCGCTTGCGCCACGCCCGTCAGGGGCGTCTACATAATATCTGGCACAGCTTTGGGTCTCGACTCAGTAAAATTGTCAAATTGCATTGTTGATGAACTTCTTTAAACATCAAGCAACACACATTACCGCACCCACAAATATGTTCACAGTTTGAAAACCACTGGGGTTACAGTCCTAAAGTCATCAAATCCATAATCAAGATTTTTACCGACTGTTATTTAAATATGAATATACGTCTTCGGCTTTGGTATTTACACATATTTGAATGCCATCTTTTTGTATGTTTTTATACCCTGAACCCAATCAAAATGGGTATAAGGGTATATTGTATTTGTGCAAAATCCAAATGTATGTAACAGGCAGAAGGAAGCATCTCCGACCCCATAAAGTATATATATATTCTTGATCAGCATCAATAGCCGAGTCGATCTAGCCATATCCGTCTGTCTGTCCGTACGTCCGTCCGTCCGTCTGTCCGTATGTATGAACGCAATATCTCAGAACCTATAAGAGCTAGAGACTTGAAGATGTAGATGCTCCTAGTACCCGCGCAGATCGAGTTTGTTTCCGATAATCGATAACTTACTCCGTTTCCAAGCAATCGATTAAAATCGATACCGATATGCTGTTTTTTGGGCAATTTTGGTAAATAATACAAGCTAGACTTACCAAACTTGACATATAGCTTCTATGCATTTGATGCTGGAAGTAGGGAAGGAAGCTCCCGACTAGAACCTCTTACTTGTTTAATATTATGTTCATGCAAATGGCTTGGGAATGCATAGTAAGTATATTGATTTAGATAAAGCTACCTATTTATATGGCTTGAATAAATCCAGTGGAGAGAGCTCGATTGGGGCAGTACTTCGTTTAGCATAATTTAATGAATCTCACTTGAGATACTCCAAAAAAGGTGGACTTTGCAAGCGAAACGTTTTTTGGCCAACAACTTTTTTTAATGAATGCCATATGATAGTAGGGATCCGAACGAATTCAAAAAGGTATAATATTTTAAAATCAGGTTATATTTACCCGAGATTTTCAAAAAAATCGTTAAACAAGTTGAGATATTCGAACCTACCCCGATTTTGGAAAAAAACGTGATGTAACCCATTGCTTTTTGGTCGATTTGGCTCAAAATTTAGATTTTTATTTTTCTGATGCCAATCGATAGACTGATCCTTACGAGTGAAAAATAGTAAAAAAATTCCAAAATCTGAGAATTTTTGCCGAGCTAGTCTAAAAAAATTATCAAAAAAGGTTGATTTTACAAACGAAACGTTTTTTGGTCAACAACTCATTACAACCCATCAATTTTTAATTTGTTTGAATGCCGTATGAGGGATAGGAATAGGGATTCGTACGAATTCAAAAAGGTTTAACATTTCAAAAACAGGATATATTTACCCGAGAGTTCAAAAAAAAAATCGTCAAAAAAGTTTGTTTTTTTAATTTATATATGTTTATTGTATTGAATCAAAAAATAGCATACATTTTTATTACAAAACCGTTAACTTAGGTGGTATCTCGCCAATCCTGGTTGGCTCCTCAGAATTTATCATGGACAAACGTCAAAGCCGTCTTCTTTGAGTAGGGCTGCACCGTCACGTAGGTAGTCGGTGGGCTCTTGGGCTTCTCCTGTGTCGTGGTTGGAGGAGGTCTCTAAAGGATCTCCTCTTGAGCCTTCTGACTACACACCTCTCAGCGAGGTTTCTTGTATGGGCTCTGAGATTACTTGGCCGAGATAGTCTAAAAAAATAAAAAAAAAAAGGTTAATTATACCAACAAAAAGTTTTTTGGTCAACAACTTTTTCCAACCCATCAATTTTAATTTCTTTGAATGCCATATGATAGTAGGGATCCGTACGAATTCAAAAAGGTATAATATTTTAAAATCAGATTATATATACCCGAGATTTTCAAAAAAATATTCAAAAAAGTTTTGATATTCGAACCTACCCCGGGTAATAGTTCTCGGGTAATAGCTCCGTGCGGAAATATGACGTTCCAAAACGACAAAACTCCGCGCGGAGATATGACGTTCCAAAACGACAAAACTCCGCGCGGAGATATGACGTTCCAAAACGACATAACTCCGCTAGGAGATATGACGTTCCAGAACGACATAACTCCGCTTGGAGATATGACGTTCCAATACGACATAACTCCGCGCGGAGATATGACGTTCCAAAACGACATAACTCCGCGCGCACCTCCAAAAAAGGTGGACTTTGCAAGTGAAACGTTTTTTGGCCAACAACTCATTTCAACCCATCAATTTTTAATTTGTTTGAATGCCGTATGATAGTAGGGATTCGTACGAATTCAAAAAGGTATAATATTTTAAAATCAGATTATATTTACCCGAGATTTTCAACCTACCCCGGGTAATAGTTCTCGGGTAATAGCTCCGCGCGGAGATATGACGTTCCAAAACGACATAACTCTGCTTGGAGATTTGACGTTCCAAAACGACATAACTTCGCGCGGAGATATGACGTTCCAAAACGACATAACTCCGCGCGGAGATATGACCTTCCAAATCATCACGTTTTTTTTCAAAATCGAGGTCGGTGCGAAAATCGAACCTTTTTCGATGATTATACCCTGAACCCATCAAAAATGGGTTTTTAATTATTAATTTTATTATTATTATTATTGTTAATTTTAGATAATTTCCGATAATCGATAACTTACTCCGTTTCCAAGCAATCAATAAAAATCTATATCGATATCATGTTTTTTGGGCAATTTTGGTAAATAATAAGAGCTAGAGTCACCAAAGTTGACATATAGCTTCTAAAATAGAATATATATATGCATTTGATGTTGGAAGAAGAGGATTCAGGGTATCCCCTAGTCGGGAGCTGTCGACTAGAGCCTCTTACTTGTTTTTTATATGTATGTACAGAAGAAAGCTAGAATGATTAACTATAGAAGATATGTATGGCTAGTGCAAGAATGTTAGTAAAGCTAACTCGGCGCGGAGTTCAGGGTATCTCCTCATCGGATACTCCCGACTAAAACAAATTTGTACTTTTATTTTTGCTGATAATTGGATGTCTAAAGAACGCACTTTCCTGTTTTAATTCTTAAGCATTTAAGCATTGTTGAAACAAAACCCAAACATAAATCAGAGATAGTCCTCAATCGGGTGTGGGTTAGCTCGTAAGGGGGGAACTTACATGCTGAAGCATTCCCATGAGGTGTACACAGACCGAGCTGCGATCATTAAGAAAACTGTTGGCCAAGAGTAAAGCAAAGAAAGGTAAACTAATTAACACATCGACACCGAAACTCGATGCCAGCAGACATAGAAATACGGGTCGGTTGGGCTATAAGCGTAGTCGGGTAGTACGACTAGAGCGCCGACTCATGGCGCATATATTTGTACATAGTTGGAGGCATATACATACTTACCGACATACACATATAGTTCACTTAGCGATTGACGCTAACTAATGTAATTTTGATGTACTGAGCAAGCACAGTTGAACAAATAGCTAGAAAAGTGTGTGTGCGTGTGTGTGCGTGTGTGTGCGTGTGTGTGTGCAATTAACTGGGCGTCAAGTGTTGACCAACTGCGTGAGCTTCGCTTGAATCGAGAAATTATCAAAGTGCTGAACATCGATATGTGGAAATGCATTGTGACATTCTCCCAGCTGCCTGAGATGTCCAAGCGAAGTGTGTTGAAAGTTTGTTTGTTCAGGCGCCAGTCGAAGAGATTTCGCGTTTCCCTCTTTTTCCGCCGATTACTGATTTCGCAATGTTTGCTTAATTTCTGAAGCGTGCGCTCATTGAATCGAACAATTTCCGCCTTTCGCTTGCAACTGCATTACGATAACGATAACGATAACAATGACAATGGCAAATACGATGACGATGACGATGACAATGACGATGACAACGATGTAGAACTGGGCAGCGGCAAAGAGTATCGCATTGCCATTGCCAGACCTAGACCCAAATCAGCCTTGATTGGTAGGTAGCTTGGCTAAGACCAAGTCTTGCTACCGTTTATAAATCTCTTAATTAAATGCTCGTTAAAATGCTAATTACGCATTTTAAGTAATTTCAACATTTTCAACTAATGTAATTGTTGTTTTTACTTCTCTCTACGTTCCATTTCAATGGCACCGAGTTGTTGCCCGGACTTGGAACAGGGCGAGTAAATGGCCATAAAAACCTTCGCGTCGGTTCATTAGGTTTCTCTGTTCTACTCGTAATTGCATTGCGGCTTTTCCGGCTGACGATTACGATATATGCGCCTTGGGAAATATCTATTTTATTTCCTATCAAATGTCTGGGTTCGACTTACACAGCTTGGCCGAAATGTATCCAGTTTCGCCAATAATAACCTAGGTAAATTTAAAATGTCATCTGGATCCATAGATACAGTTCACTTTGGGGTGCCTAAGATTTATTGCCCTTCCAGACATGTGCACATTTACGACATATTCATATTCTTAGCCGCATTGCAGATTGTTTCCACAGATGCTTAGCGACATAGTTGTCCGATGTGGGTAAGATTATGTTAAAACCATAGGTATGTTCGATTCTACAGAGTTTGTTTATCATACGTACCTTGAACATTTAATTATCTATGCCTATGTCTCTTTTCTGCACAAAAACAGACGGAATAAAAGCTTCCACTTACAATTGTGGAAAATTGGTGGAAATGGTTGCATGAATTTGATCGGCTTCAAACTCAATTTTAAAAATCTTTGTGAAAATTCATTTAAGTCGAAAAGAAGATATTTTATTTTAGTATTTTAGCTCTACCAAATAACTTGAAGCTAATTTTCAAATTTGAAAGAAGCTTTGTTTGCGAATCTCAAAAAATGAGAGGAGGATGATTAAAAAGTATATTCAAAACATTTGCCTAAAACAAAAAATGTTATTATAAAAAAAAGACTAAAATAGTTTCGTTTTATATTACAGAGCCCCAATCGACGCAGAGAAGCGTCATGTTGTTGTCGCTGTCTTTGCAATATGTAGAACAAACGCAACAACAAGAACAACCTACTCAATTAACCCAATGCGATTTTTGGCCGAGAATAACAACTCCATTAAAAATCGAGTAAAAAACGGGCTTCAGTTCATCTAATTTAGCAGGGGAAGCCAGCACTAAAAGTTGTTAAAACACCGACATTTTTAATAATACCGGTCCGAAAAATACGCAAAGCTATTGCCAGAAGCAAGTAGAACGAACAAAAGCACATTGAAGCCCAACAAGAGAGCTTGAAACTGACGAAAAAGTAGCAAACAATTTGCTAGTGTTGTTCACAACAACTGGAACTACAACAACAACAACAACATCAACAACAAGTGTCGCCGTTTCTTAATGCAAAACAACCATTCTGTGATATCTTAAGATCCAAAGGTGAGTTGCACAAAAGTAAAACCCATTTGGCCCAGTGGAACGGAAATGCACTTGCCATAACCTCAATCTTATGATGTATAATGCTTAGCAGAGGGAAAATGAGGGACAACCCAGTTGGCTCATTTTATGAATTTCACTTCTTTATACGAACAATTGAAAATTGTTTAAAAAACAACAATCTGGGAAAAAACTAGGATTGAGATTAGGGTAAGACTCAAGGAATCAAGGCCTTAGAACTGTCTTTGATTTGGATCGGTTTGAGCTCGAGACACTCATATTTTATTTACCATAGTTGAATACAGAACAGCCGAAAATGAACCTAAACCTTTCTTTGGGAAGGTTTGGGCTAAAAGAATATTTGATTTATTTTTATATATGTATTTTTACAATACTTTTCCTTTTCTTAATCTCGTTTCAATATATTCAAATATTGAAATACATTTATGACGAACTGGTTGGTGAGTTCTTTTAAAAATGCCAAAGAATTTTAAATATATATTTAAACAAAGGCACGTAACTTTTAGTTACTGAGAAGAGTTCCGTCACAAATGGGCGTGACGAATGATCCAATCGAATGTGACCTAACGGAAAAATATATTTCGAGTGACTTTTAAAATGCTTAGCTCATGTGATAGCTCTATTGCTTGAACGTTCTGGTATCGTAAGGCTTAAAACGAAGACCGATCTTGCAAAGCAGACACCTCATAAGCCCGCTAATTGGCAGTCACTGTAGATGTCAGTCTTATGTTACATTTAAAGAGTTGACCGATCCCGAGTAAGCTGAAAGTAAACGCTTACCTAGAAAACACATTATAATTGATATGGTCTGTCGCTCTATATAGACTTTGAATGTACAGTATATACTCGATTAACATGTGACAACACACGGTATTTAAGCGTAACCGTTAATTAGTGCCTGAGTTGCAGGGTTCGGCCGCCAGGCGGCGCCTCTGAGCGGTGGGTGTAATTGGAGCTGCTGCTGCTTGCTGGTGCTTGCGTGCTGCAACTTGTTGTGCCAATAAATAATATGCAATGTGCCAATCTAAAAAGAAAAAAAAGAAGTAAAAATATAAAAAAGTGTTGACAATGACGAACAACAACAACAGCAACAACTGCTTCGAACCAGTCACATTCTTAAACTGTCAGTGACAATTAGAGAGCAAATTATGCTAACTAAATATGCGACGTGCAAATATTTCAATCGAGCTGCTCCAATCGCTGGCCACGCCGCACAGCGGGACCCTGGCGGACAGTCTGGCCACGACTGGCTCTGGTACTGGCACTGCTTGCTGGTAACTGGTAGCTGGGCGTGGCAGCATCTCCAGCATCTCTAGCTATGGCAGCATCCATTGCATCTCGTGGCTGCTCTTACGTAAGCTCTGCACCTAGCTGGGCATGCCATAGAGGGGGAGGGGAATGGGAAGTGGGGACCCATTATAATTATAGATGCAATCAGCGCTAAATTCAATTTTAGCTATTATAGCAGCCACCCACAGCGAGCGGGCGGCAAATCTAAATCTGAATGGGAATCGGAATTAGATTTGGATTTGGACTTGGAGTCCTGGAAACGTCATGCTGCCGATGACTGTTGGGGGCAATTGTTGAGCTAAAGGGGCCGCTGTGGGATTGCGAAAGATTTGTTTTTTGTTTCTGACGTGCAAAATATGTCACGGGGTTTGGTTTAGTTTTTGTGTTTTGGCTTTGCCGCTGCCAAAGTGAATAATTTAACACAAGAGTCGCAAAAGTCGTCGGCTCCAATTGCGCCACGGTAGTTAAAAGGTGTCAATCAAGCCGGCTGACCAACATGCAACCCATTGGCCAGACCCAAAGCGGCAGCCAGAGCCAGTTAGACAGCGGGCGGCGGCAGTGCTGCGCCTGTTAGCCGAAAAAAGCCAGAATAGCGCTGCTTTTAGACATATTCATGAGTGTCTGGTGGGGCCGTAAGTAGATAGTTCATTTACTTTACTTTGATAGAGCAGAGTTTTTTTTTGTTCAGAATGCAGTCTGGGTTTATCTTTGGCTCAACCAACAATACAAAAAGAGTCGTGGCGGTGTCAGTGCTAAGCTCTTAGCCTTTTTCAGCCAGATTTGGCCATAATTTTAGCAGAGAACAATATCAGGAATACAAAGAATATAATGTTTATAAATTGTTAGAATCAAGAAGAGTCTTGAGCATTATTATACTATGCATTTAAACATTTGTTTGTGCCGCGTTCAAGTGAAAGTTGTTTTAAATAAATGCATTTAAATCCTGGAATCGTATCTCTACTGGTTAGTTGATTGATTGCAATTGGTGCTGGAAATTATTAATGACATTCATTGTTATTGCTTTTATTGATAACATCTTTGACGCAATTAATTAATTAATTAATATATATGAATATTACATCCGAACATAGATTTAAAGTGGGAAAACTAGATGTAAAATTGTAGTGCTTAAATTTAATATTAAAGCCAAAACCAGTTGTGAATCACAAGAAAATTAATTTATGCTGCTTGTGTTTGCTGCGTTGCCAACACTGTTTTCTTCGCTGTATCTGTCAGGTTAGTTGCCAGGTATTTTGGACGCATGTCATGTTAATTAAAGCGAATTGAACTCAATCAACACGATTCTTCCAACCCCCTATCCACAGTCCCGGCAAACCAGCAAGCCGGCAACCCGAACGAACACCCCAAGCCATGCCCCAGGTCGTTGTAGAGTTTGAGGTGTGCTCACTTACTTACCGACTACTGCAGCAGCTGCTGTCGCCCTTTTGGTGAACTAGTTCAAGCCAAAGGGGCCGACTTAAAGCAGTTAAATACTTTGTCATTAGGGGCAAATCATGATGGATGGCGAACGCCCCCGAACGGGCATCAAAATCGCTTCACTTTGCATAATAAAGTTGTTGCTCGCGCTGCGCCGGGACGGTGGCAAGAGAGTGGGGCACGCCCTGCTCTTGCTGGGCCATGATCTGGATCCGTAACTGGGATCTGCATGTTCCCACGCCCAGGTTTTACCCCAACTCAACAGTTGGGCGGCTGCCTGTTTGCAGTTTTTGTTGCTGTGGCTGTGGCTGGGCTGCTGGCTTAAAATGCAAATCAAGTGATTTTTTATTGCTCGATTCGTGTTTGTTGTTGTTGCTGTTGTTGTCGGCAATCGATTTGGGGATTCAGTTTTGTTTAGCGGAAACTGTGAGCTGCCTGCTCATTTGCTGGCCTCCCTCGGCTGTCGTTTCTGCAGCGAATGAATGACACAGATTCGGCGCACATAATTGTGGGCTGTGCCACGGAACATGCGGCGCATACGTAATATTGAATATCCAACCAGATTACGCATACGACGCATGGCCCGGCCACACCATATCATTTGACGCTGCATGCTGCGCAATCGGCTAGCACCCCGAAACAATGAGCCAGTTACACCACATGACACATGACATGATATCTACATATGTACATATGCACAAATATATAAATCGTGTCGGAACAACTGCGAGAACTTCGAGATGCGCTGCATCTGCATCAATTGTCGATCTCTGCGAGCTCTTCTTCTTCTCCGCGCGCATTGATTAATCTATGGGCTCTATTGCAACATACAGCAAAGAAATGATCTAAAATGAAAAGCCATAACACAACACAGCAAACAGCAGCAGCAGCAGCAACAACAACAACGAAAAGCCTATAAAAAACAGGCTTGAAATCAATGAATATTTTGTAAATATTTTGTTGTCGGCCGCGCTCTTCGTGTTTGTTGTAGTTGGCTAAAGTTATGCTTGGCGCGTAACTGGGACAGCAGCAATAGCAATAGCAACAACAGCAACAACAGCAACATCAGCAACAGCAGCAGCAACAGCAACAACAGCAACACTCTCGCTTTCACGCCAGACCAATCGAACACAGAATAAGCAAGTAAGAGTGCTCTAGTCGAGAGTGCCCGACTAAATGATACCCTAAAGCCAGTGACGAGCTGCTGTTGTAAGCATTGTTGCTTGGTTTGGTAGTCCAAATTTGCTGTATCCAGCTCTTGTAAGTTCCAAGATATGGTATAGGAAACAGGCTCGACTCGACTCGGCTGCTGATGCCGAAGAAGAACATCTACACATTATAGTTTCATATTATACGGCTTCTCATAAACTTCAGATCAACTGTTAAACAATAGCTTTAATTGTCTGAAGGAATGAAATTGTTGACTTTTGTTTGTTTAAATAAAAACAATTCCAAGCTCTGGTTGCGAATACGAAATGTATATATGCATATATATTTTCTTCAAGATTTTTTTTTCGATACCCTGTAAGGCAAAAAGTTCTGCGATTAGTTCAAAACTTTGCAACATTTAATTGGTCTTTCTTTCATTGCATTGTTGTTGGTTTGTTGCTTTAATTATTTTCCATAAATTTGCGGGCCAATTGACGTCCGCGCAGACACCACCACTGCCGCTGCCACCCGCACCACCCACTCCCCCCTCCCAGTCCTCGTCGCCGTTGCCGTCGCCGTTGCCGTTGCGGGCACGTAGAGAAAAAGTAAAGTAAAAATGTTGCACAACTAAATCGCATTTATTTAAAATTCCAGACCATTGCGAGTTGCGGCGGCGGCAACAACAACAACAACCACAACAACAGCAGCAGCAGCAATAAAAAAAAAAACAATAACAACAACAACAACAACGAGAGCAACAAATATTTAACAGAAAATTCGTTTGGCTCTTTGGCGGCAAATATGCAAACCGACCGCCGACCGACAAAACCTGCGCCGCATGTCCCAACCTCAACAGTTGGACACCGCTGTGGTGTGGGCGGTGGCGGCGGTGTGGGGGAGTGGTGGAGTGAGGGGCTCTCAGGGGTTGCCTGATCACCGCCGGGAACTATGGGGAACGACAGCAGGGAAAGGGGGGTTGTCGCCCCCGCAGCGACGCCTCTTGGCGCAATGCTGCCGATGTGGGCATATCGATAGCCAAGTGACTTACTTTTTCTTTATGCTATACCCTAGCAGAGAGTATTATGATTGTTTCTCACAATGAGTAG